GAAAGTCTACAGGAATACCACGTCAGTTGGTATCCCCAAGGCCATTCCAAGTCACTAAAATTAGTCTAATTCATCACACACTTTATCTTACGAGCAATTCATCTCACCTAACAAAAAAATTTAATGCAACAAAAAACTAACGGAGGATTTCTCCGGTCAAGATCTTCTCTTTCTTTTCCTTCCCTCCTTCCTAACGGTGCCTTCTGTTTTCTACTCCATCTCTCTAGATCTTCCACCTCCCCTGCTCCTGTTCATTCTTAACCACTGCTTCCTCCCACGGAATCCCTTGTATTTTCTCCTTTAATTGTCAAAAATATGAGGTACTTTAGATCTGGTTGGTTTTTAAGTGTGAGATTTAGGAAAAAAGACAAACTCTATGCCTGAATTTATGTAAATTGGAAAACCTATTTGAACTTACTTGTATGAAATTTTAGTTCTTTTCGAAGAAATAATACCACCAACTATATCTTAAAATTGGGTATCCTAAACAACATGAACTTTACCCTGAGAGCCACTTTTATATTCCAATTTAAAAAAAAGTTTTTCAATTTCTCTAATTTTCCCAGGCATGAGAAAATTTCAGGTGGTTTCCTTTTTTTTTTTTATGAAAATTTTCAGATGATTAAATACACGAAAGCTTCAAATTTCATGATTTCAAAATTGAATCAACATCTGGACATTTCTTAACGTTGACTTACTTGAACAAAAATCAAGAATCAAAAACACAAGTTCTTCATTTCATATGTTCTTAACATCATCAACAGGAGAAATAACCACCTCCTGTTGTACATTAATCCCATATTTTCTCATAAACTCAGTCGCTCGATTTTAATTAAACACAATTTCTATCACCATAATGATCAAGAGGTACAAAATTAAACAGATCTACATGAATATCAAGAATCGAGAGTGCAAGATAAAATCGAACGAGATATTGCAATAAGATAATTAATGATTTTTAAGATCCATTTGAGTTTACTAATATAAAATTCTTCTTTATTTTCTGATTTCTATTCTTCTAAATGGAGAAATTTTGTGGAGGAAAGAGTAAAGATTCAGGGAAGAAGACAGAGAAGAGAGATGCGATAAGCGGAGGAGACAGAAAGTTCATGCCAGAAAAATTCTCTGTTAATTAACGTCTCTTTTTGGATGATGAAATGTCATCTTTTGTTGAGTTGTAATAATACTACTGGACGGGGATACCAACTGACGTGGTATCCCAGTTGCATAACTAGCACTGCTCTTCTCAAGGCCAAAATTTTCCAAAATCATCTTGTTCAATTTTAATACTTGTTCTGAGAAAGATCGCATAGTTTGCTGAGAAACAAGTAGGAAATAGAAAGAATCAAGATTTCTACATTGTCGGATTTTTTCTCAATGTTTTTTTTTTTTTTTTTAATGTAATATTTTATTTTACTTTTTTAGGAAAATAGTAGGTTTATCTCATTCAAAAATTTCTAAAAACAGAATTTTACAATTAAATTATAAATTCAAGTTTACTCATAATTAAAATTGATTTTTAGACAGAAACACAAAAAACTTTAAGGTTTGAGATTCAATTTTTTTTTTTTTTTAACTAAGGGAATTGTAGGGATGGGTGAAGTAATGAATGGAGGAAGTAATGAATGGGTGTAGAATCCAGAACTTGCATGTCATAGCACGTTCCATGTAGGTTATGACCACTAGGTCACATAGTGCTAGACGAGATTCAAATTTTTTTATGTATTTGTTTAGTTGTTATTTTTATTTTTTGCTATTGTTTGTAAGTTAATTGTTTTAAATAACAATAAGATGTTTTAAAACAAATTTATATTTACTTTAAAATTAATTGTATATAATATATACAGTTCGTTCATTTTGAGTTGTGATAAATGAATTATAATTGACGAGGAAAGAAAAAGGGAAATTATGGAGTCTCATAGAATTCTTTCTTGGAATCAAAAGCTTCGTCACAAGAGATTTATAGAAATGCAACACCTTGATTTTGCATACATGATTATTTCCTGCTTCTATTGATGGGAATCATTCTTTATTTTCCTGAATACTGAACTTTTTCATGGATTAATTTCTGAAGAATGCACTCCTCTACAGCATCTCCACAGACAACTTGATCATTTTTCTTTTCTTTTGCATTTCATTTCAAGGAACGAAATACCTAGGATTGGGGACCTTGAAAGTCCTGTTGCCCAAACATTCTCCCTGTAAATCACTCCATTGATCTCCAACATTCCCCCATATCCTGTACCCTTCTCCCATCAATTAGTAGAAGAAATCCTCATTTATAAGAAACAAAGTGATTCTTCAAATCTCAAGAGAAAACCCACAAAATTCCTCAATTAACCTTAAAGATTAAGCACAAATCCATGCAACAAAACCCCTGTACCACTCAAAAACTCCTTTCTTCTCTCCTTCCTCAACGCATAGTGCCTTCTCTAGTAAATAAAACAAGATAATTACAAAATAGAAGAATAGAAGCCATACCCATGGTTCTAGAATGGTGGATTTTACAATTTTGAGGTTTGATCGAGCTTCTAAGGGGATGATTTATGTTCTTATGTTCTCAGCTTTGAAGGTGCTGGGTAGGTCGAAATTGAGTTTTCAGGGTTTGCAGGGCATGATTTATGTATGTACTTATGTTCAGTGGCACGTTTTGTAAATTTAAAATAGTGTTTTTTGAATTTTTTATGTTTTGGTGGACCTATTGGCCATGACACGTCAATTAATATTGCTGATGGGAGTCTGAAGTGGAGGGCAAAATAGGGAAGATAACAAATTTTAAGTTTTTACAGGTGTTTTTGAGATTTTAATGGGTCTCACGTGATGGGTTGAAGAAAAAAATGGTGAGAAAGTGCCACGTAGGAAAAAATGGGTTGAAGACATCCACATCAACATCCAAGCAAGCAAAAAAAGTTCCACGTGTTTCAAAAAGTCAAAGTTAGCTCCCCGTTAATATTTTAATGACGTCATAAAATGTGTCACATTAATTTTAAAGTGCTTTATTTATTTATTTATTTATTTAAACATTTTGACATGAAAACCGCCCACAGGAGAATGCACCTCTTCAGTAATTAGTGCTATTGGTTCTCTAGGGTTAAATGTTTAAAGTGTTTTATTTAAGTTAAAAATTTTATGGATAAATTTATTTTTATATTATTTTTGGGTAGATTTAGATATTGTACTTAAGATAAATATTAATTTTTATAATTTTTTATGTACATTAATTTAAAAAATATATATTTCTTATACTTTTGGTACAAGACACAAGTTAAATAATTTTTTTTAATTCTAAATTTAATAATTTTTTTAAGATCTTTTTAACATGTGTTATATATTTTTACCATTAATTTAATGTGCGTTTATTAAAAATAGAAATTTAAAGTAACAAATTGTATCAACATATTTTTTGAGTGATAATTTATCTCAACGCAATAATTTAGAGGTAATTTGCACTGTTTGGCCATTTGATGAATATCATCTTTTACTAATGGCAAAACGTACCCAGATCATGCCACCGCTTCTCTTTCATATTTTAATGGCAATATTAACTTGTACTGTTTCATGGAACACTTAGTATATTTTGAACAGATTTATACACAAACACTGCCTGTTGCCTGCAGTCTGGAAATTGGAATCTGTGATAAAGAAATTCTACTAAGCAACCATTTCATCTAGTTCCATATCTCATTGTATATCATGCTTCAATGCCAATATATATTTCAAGACAGCAAGATAGTTAATGAAATTGAAGCAAGAGCAGTGTCATTGTTCATTACACAACACAATACAAGAAATTAAGCTGTCTTTAACAGAGTTACTCATCAAGCAAACTATCATCAATAGAAATCATTTGGATGGAAATTGCCAGTGCAACATTAACAAAGTACTGATTATACAAGAAAACAAGCATTAATCGAAGTTCAAGTGGGCTAATGTCAGATGAAATGAAGATAACAATATCATCACAATTCATACCACATGAGGCGAATCTCATTTGCTTTTGCTTTGCTCCTCTACTCAAGAAATTTGCTTCGACATTGTAAGAACTCCTACAAGAATCACAAGGTTATAAAAGCAATTAATAATTACATCAACATCCATGACATGATCCCAAAAATTGATTTTAGGTCTTTTATGAGTTCTGTGTATGTGATTTAAAAGGAAACAAAAAAATCAATAGCCAAGGAGTAGCACCATGAAATAGGTTGCAGATGAGGCAAATCAAGCTGACTAACTAGTCAAGAAGTTAGCTAAAGATGATTTGTGCTAAGCAAACTTACTTGTGGAGGCTAGATTATTCATCTTTAGTTTCAGAAGCGTCTGTCAATTCCTCTAACTCGGAAAGCCAATCGTCTTTTATTTTTAGGAATGGAAGGAGGATATCCCTACTGGAAGGGTTGTCCCACACCAGTGATTCCCACCATTCTTCTGACTTTGTGCAGATTTTTCTGAGTGAAGGAGGAGAACAGACCTCTCCATTGGGAAGCAGGGGCAGGTATAGAGGGATCCTCTTTAGCTTTGGACATTTAAATATTCCAATTATTTCCAGAGAATCACACACCATTACTCCTCTTGCAGTACAGATGCTGTTCAGTTTTGGTGAGCCCTTCAACAATAAGCGCGTCAATTTGGGAAGAATGAAAGTAATTGTTTCATTTTCTCCATCTGTCATGAGTGTTTCTTTCTCTTCTTCCACTTCTATTATTTCCTCCATTTCTGCGCACCCCTTGACATAAATACCCTTCAAGTTCTGGAGAACCTTCAACAACTCAGATGTAAACAACTTCTTGATTCTTGGACATTTGTATATGACCAGATGCTTAAGATTGGAAAAGATGGAAGGCTGTGTTGGTGGACACGATGTACATGATCTTAAATCTGATAATGCTTTAAATAAAAAAGAATCGTTTAAGCTTTTCAAGCCGCAGCACTTTACAATGACCAAAAACTGAAGGTCATCCGGAAGCAATATGGGATAATCGTCATTGATTTCCATTCCCCTCAAAATTAACTGCTTAGAGCAATCATCATCATCATCATCGATTTCGAAATCAGAATCAGAAACATAACCATCATCATCATAATCATCATCATCATCAGTTGCTTCCACAAGAAGCTCATAGCTAGTAAGCTTTTGACCATGAAAAGACTTGACAAAATTGTTGAAGTCTTTTAGGTCATCAAATCCCTTGTGAAGTGAATGATCATTGTCTGGCTTTAAGATGGGAAGGAAGATATCCTTAGCAGAAGGATTGTCCCATAACAGCAATTCCCACCGTTCTTTAGACTCTATGCGGATTTCTTTAAGTAAAGAAGGCAGAGAGGGCTCACCGTTGGGAAGCAGGGGCAGATATAAAGGGATCCTATTTAGCATAGGACAGTCATATATTTCAATACTTTGAAGAGAATCACAAACCATTACTCCTCTTGTAGTACAGATACTCTTCAATTTTGGTAATTCCCTTAAACTCAACTTTCTGAATTTCGGAAGACCTAATCTGATGGTTTCATTGTTTCCCACTGTTGTGATAGTTTCTTTCTCGTCTCCCGCTTCTATTATTTCCTCCACTCTTTGGCAATCTTCAACACCAATCTCCTCCAAGTTTTGGAGACCTTTCAACAGCTCAAATGGAAACAGCTTCTTGATTCTTGGACAGTTTCTTATTTCAAAAATTTTAAGGTTGGAAAATATGGAAGAAGGTGTTGGTCTTGGTGCCCGTGATGTCGAGGGAGCCGATGCTGCTTGAGCTTCCAGTTTCACAAGTACTTGCAAGTTACGCAAATTATTGAGCCATAGAATTTCAAGCTTATCAAATGAGCTGCAGACTGAGGACGATGAGGATAAGTCAAGCATGCACTCTAACCTTTCACAATAATAGATATCACAATATCTTAAATCTGTTGCTGTATTGAACAAAGAAGTCTCACTTAAGATTTTCAAATCGTCGCACTCTGCAATCGTCAAAAGTTGAAAGTCATTTAGAAGCAATACAGAATCATCTCTTCCAATTTCCACTCCCCATAAAGCCATAATCTTTGTGCATTCCGCACCTGGGAGCCATTCATAGTAATCTCTTCCCGTTTCAAATCCAACTAAACTCATCTTCCCCTTAAAAGCAAGCCTCGGATCATCAGTTAATCCCACCCTAAGCCAGTACCTAGTGAACTTTTGATCCTGATGAAAAGACTTTACAAAATCGTTAATGCCTTGTAGGTCCTTAAATTTACCTGTAAAAGTCTCCAACTTCTTCAGCCTAATCACCTTTTCTTCTTTGATTGCAAAACTAGTAGATTTCAAATGCACTGCAAGAAACTGGAGATGAGTGAGGTTACAGAGTATTTCCGTTGGTAGCTCCACCAGATTTGGACAACATAGATTAAGATGTTGGAGATTCACCAACGTTTCCATGCCTTGTGGGACCTCCACAATCCCTGCTTTATTTAGATCCAACTTCTTCAATGCCTTCAACTTTACCAACGGAGACATGTATCTTAATTCCCAACAATAATCAAGCCGTAATACAGTGAGATTTTCCAAGATGGAAATGGAATCTGGTAAAGCTTCAATGGCAGTCCCAGAGAGAGTTAGAAACTTAAGGCCGATCATGTGCACAAAAAGGGAATCTGGAATCTGCCTCAAATTACGGTTCCACGAAAAGTCCAAGCTTGAGAGTTTTGGACAGTGTAGAGACATACTAGAAGCAAAATCTGTTATGTTATTTGCTCTGAGCCAAACCTTCTCAAGGTTTTCCGTCCATTCATTTGCTTCTGGTACCTCTGTTAGCAACAAACCAGCTTTTGCCATAAATCTAGGACCAGCAACTTGCAATGCCATATCTCTCATCACATCATGCATCCTTATACCATAACCTGGGTAATACTCCACTCTCTCTATCAAGCATTTATTTATGAGACTAATTAAAATAAAATTGGCTCTTTCATGCATTTCTTTTCTAGTGTCTAACTGTTCAATCAGCCCATTGTCAATCCAGTCTCGTATTACTTCATCTCTCTCGATACTCCGATCTTTAGGATATAGGGAACAATGGAGGAAACAATTCTTAAGTGCTGGATCATTCAAACGATCATAACTAAATTTCAACCGTTGAAATATTTCCTCATCCCAGTCTTCCACCCTCTTTACACGGCTCCTTAATTCACGCAGAGCATATCTCCACACAGAAATATCATTTTCTCCCCTCATGCTCCTAGCTATTACAACGATAGCTAAAGGTAAACCTGCACACTCTGCCACCACAAGCTTCAAAGTTTCTTCTAAATT